GGGGAGTAGAAATACTCCTAGTCGCTTCATGCTACAGAAACCGGGATAAGCTCCGGCCTGATGGGCCACTTGGCTCGTATGCAGACTTTACCTTTTTTAGGGTAAGGGTTTTGGGAAGCAGGCCACACACCCCTACCCAATTTTTCTGGGAGTATCCCCGCTGGATACAGTTGAACCTCTCCATAGGGACACCTCTCTAATACGGACAGTTTCCTATGTACCAACAAAATTCTCATACATTTCCTCTAACGAAAACCTTTATAATACGCAGGGGTGGATCCAGAGTAGTTTAAGTGATTTGCAGAAATCACTCAAATGTTTCCAAATATTTACGTTTGTTATTTCTCAGGTTCTTTATGTAGTTCAAGAAATCAATTATCCTTCTTGTTTCATTGTTTATTATAAAATAAAACAAAGAAAAAAATGTCATATCTCATTATTCCGTCGATTACACAGCAAATCTAGCCCTTCCTGCGTGAATTTGACAAATCTCCGTCTGCGCGCTTTCATCCTTTGTCGATACTTCTGAGATCAACACAAAAAAATTCGTTGTCACGACTGGAAAAAATGTGTACGCAGTGGGTGGGACTGGTTGGTATATGGATCTTTTCACAAATCACTCAAAACCCTCTCCGATTGGCCAGAAACACTCACATTATTTTGCCAACTATTCAAACTCGGTTTTTATTGGCTATCCAGGCCGCAAACTAGCATGGAAACTACTGACAATCCTATATAAAGGGAAGCCTCTCCCCGAAAGTCCTCTGTTTGTTGTTGTTCAGATTAGTACAAAGTTCATCAGTAACTTGCTGCGGATCCAGTTTGCCGAAAGGAGGACTGCTCTGTGAACGATATCGGCTTGATTTTCAAGGAAACGAGAACATATTCAGACCAGGACAAGCTCAGGTTAACAGAGAATGTTTGGAAACCAGGTGAGTTATTTGAGTTCCCAGTGTCAGTGGAATGTTCGAATTCTAAGAGCCATTTCGTGTGGGGTTGGCTAACAAGATTTCCCTGGCTAGCATACTCTAAATATCTCAATGGTGCATTTTGTTTACCATGTGTTTTGTTTGGAGTCCAGTGTGGGCGAAATACGAATAAACGAGACAAATTGTACAAGTCTCCACTAACACTTTGGACGTCCGCCATTTCACGTTTTACCAAACACGCGAGCAGGAAATGTGAGATGCATAATTTAGCAGTGATTGCAATGGAGAATTTTCTGAGAATATGAAAAGAGAAGCGGTCCCAATTGATCAGCAGATTAACAACTTACTTCAACAACAAATCCACAGAAATCACGAAATTCTGAAATCCCTTTTCAAAACAATAATTTTCTGTGGTAAAAACAACATAGCCCTCAGAGGTAGACGAGATGATCCGCAAGATGCCAGTCTTTCCGGTAATTTCCAGGCACTGTTAGAATTTGGAATTGACAGCGGCGACCAAACACGGCAACATCACCTGAAAACTACACCCAGAAATGCCACATATATTTCTAAAACCATTCAAAATGACATGATTACAACTGTGGGTGCTATCATACTGAATAATTTGTCACCGGAAATCAATCATAGCAAACATTTTTCTATCATGTCTGACGAAGCAGCTGACATATCAAATAAAGAAAATCTTTCAGTGGTGATCAGATTTCTCAATTCGACCAAAACAGTCAGAGAAGAATTTGTGGGATTCTACCATTGTGAGGATGGAACAACAGGAGCAGCTATCAAAGATTTAATAACTGGTGCTGTAACTGATTTAGGTCTTTCTATGGATGACTGTCATGCCAGTGTTATGATGGTGCGGGCAATATGTCTGACTGCTTGAATGGAGCTTGATCCCTTATTAGGACTGAACACGACAAAGCTATTTACGTTCACTGTATGAACCATAGGCTTAACTTGTGTGTCGCCGACACATGCCAATTACCACTTGTTACAAACATGATGGGTGTTGTAAGAAAGCTCTCAGAATTTTTTGACAATTCTCCAAAGCGACAGCAGCATTTGATCAGCAAGATTAGAGAATTAATGCCTGCTGCCAACCACTTTGTTCTGGTAAATGTGTGTCTAACAAGGTGGATTGAGCGCATTGCTGGTATGGACCGAATCGTGGAGCTTCTTTACCCAGTTGTGGCTACACTTGAAGACATTTCAATGAACAGAAATGCTCCTAGCCATGGGAACTGGAATCAAAACAGCAGAAATGATGCACAAGCCTTAATTAATGCAATCACATTATTGTGAAACACATTTTAGACTTAACCAGACCACTCACAGTTAGGTTACAAAAGAAAGCAATGGATCTTCTCAAAGCAAAAGAGGAAATAACTACATAACTGGTGTCTATGGTACAATTGTATTAACACTAATATCTGGACAAAAAACCATTCTTCAATAGTTTTAAGAGTTATGTTTCCACTGACACTGGGTGTTCAAAAAGCTGAAATGGTTTTTACATATTCTCTCATTCTGAGCTCATTGGACCACATCACCTTATACACTGATCTATAGGGCTGAAAATTCAGGTGTGATTCCAACTTATCAGTTTTGCTGTTACATTTTCACAACAATGATGTCTTTTAATATTCACTTATAAATCTTGATATTTTTTCTCCTCTTCCTCCTCTTTGACTAGAAGGTTCCCATTGGAGAGTTATTTCCACTCTCACAAGCATCCTAGAAGCTTGGATTGAAGATTGCATTAGTGAAGCTTGTGTAAAAGGTTGGTGATCATTTCATTCAAATAAACATTTTACAGTTTTAAAGGATTTAGCACTGGCTACACGTGGCTACTCCATGGTAAAAATTGCCCGTCTCAATGACGCTTTCTCACAATATTTTGAACTGGAAGCAAGCCCAGTAGAAGGTCAATCACTGCAGCAAAAAGAAAAGAAAAGGAGAAAAAGGGAAGGCGAAAAAAAAAAATTTAAGAAAAACCGAAGAGCCTAAAGACTTAGGTCACTTTCTCATCTCAAAATTATGATTTCTGCACATGCCCAAGCAAAATAAATAAAAATAGTAAAGTAAAGTAAAATCCTTTATTTAAAACACGATTATCGTTTAGGCGCTACATGCTCGAGGGGTCGTGTATCTAATTAATAATTATCTAATTATCTCATTACCTACTGATAAAATGCGATGCTAGTGGAAAGAAAAGCATGCCATCATGTTGCAAATGCCTTTTTGAGTAGATTGGAGCTAATTTGGCTCATATCATGCCTGAAAATCTCCAAGATGTCCAAAAAATGCATTTTTGGCAGAAAGCTCTGGCAGTCAATGGGTAAACATTATTTTTGTTTGCCCAATTTACAGTTTCAAACATGCTTATAATAAATAATCACTGTGAACCTTTTGCAAATATATGACTTGTAAGTTGTAGGTCAATTTCTTCTTTAGGTCAGAATGACTTCAACCTAGGTTAATGTGTCATTGTAGGTTAGACCATGCCCTATCCTGTCAGGATCCCATATCAACCCCTCTAACCTGAATTATAACCCTAACCCTAACCCTAACCCCCTAGATCTTTTTTTAGGGAGTTTTTGTACTCACCTAGATTTGAGCAACTGATGTCTGCTCTCTACCTTCATCTCCACTAGCAGGGCTGTCATTATGTTTTGAGTCACTTGTTACTTTGTTCTCCACACCTGTAGCAAACTTGTTGCTTTCTGGGTGAATTCTATTGACAACAAGCAATTTTACCCGTAACATCAAGGGAAAATCAAGCATACTCAGCCATAGCAGGTGCTAAGGGTTCCAGCCCTTAATGAAAGCCCTGAATAGGCCACACAATCTACACAAATTTACTCACATTTGTTGGTCTGAGAAGTTTGGTTTTTTTTCCAGACTCACCCTTCCCATTTGACACAAATTAACCTAGGTTGAAATTGTTCTAACTTAAACAACCAATACTTAACACAAAACAAGCATACTATACCATGGAAAACACTTTGTGCGATTCTCATTCACTAATTGAAGTATATAAACTGACTTATTTCTTTTCTTAATACTAGTCAACTCCTTAATGAAAGTTGTATGTGCATTTTCCATGTAGTAATCTGCAATTGCTGCCTGGAGAAGTTAGATGTTGAAAAATGCTTAACAACACTACCTATTCATTGAAGCTATAAAAGAAGAATACTTACAAAGTGTTGCTGTACATCTGACAGTAGCATTTCCTGACTTGGGGAATCTAACAATAACTTGCAAAGTCTTGAAGCAAGAATGTCATACTTGTGGTGTTCTTGTACATGAAATCGTTTCAACCTCACCACATTTGTAGTGAAATTTCTCACACATATCACTGAATCAGTTGTGCTCACAACAAGAGGCTGCAAAAATAATTTAATATCTATTAATACACTTGTCAGAGAATTCCTGGAAATTTTTTCATGCAAATTTTTTCATGTTTAATGTTATTATTAAGTAATCATATGGGTTTTCTCATTCAATTTGGAGTTAATTTGCACTTGTGAGTTTTTCAAAAAGCTGGAATTGCACTCACTGAAACAGCTCATGCAATTTCACCTTTTTGAAAAACGAACTTGTGCAAATTAATTCCAAATTGAACTCAAAACCCTATGATAACCTATACTAATACGACAATAATTACATTCGGTTTTTTGTGAGAGCCAAAATAATCCAGGTCTCAGGAGGGTTAACAGCCACAGCCTTCGGCTTCGGCTGATAACCCCTACCTCAGCCTTGATTATTCTGGATATCACAAAAACCTCATCCATCCATTTCCAGGCTTTGCCCATAATTAACACCCAACTTTTTACAGCAGCCAGAAAGAATATGAAACACAAAAGGTAGCAAGAGTAAAAGGGCTGAGAAAAAGGAAAGGAAAGGAACAAGAAAAAAAATTCAGAAAGGGCAATCGCAAAAAAAAAAAACAAAAAAACACAAGTCCAAATTTTGGCTTATGTGCATGCACAAAATTAAAATGTTGTACATTCTTGTACCTAATCTTGGGGAAATCAATCTTTTTGGTACAAATAGCTTTCTCAGCAAAACTAAGGCACATTTATTATCATGGCAGCCCAAAAAACTGATTTAACAGCTAAAAACAGCATTTTTTTGTGAGAAGTTGGCAGTCAAAGAGTTAGAAAAGCACAATTTTTTATAAAACTTTCTGTTTTCTCCATAATTCTGTCCAATTGACCTATCTAAGTCTCTCACGAGCAAAATTTAGGCCAATAAATGATCATACATGTATGCATTTTTGGTTAAGTGACTGAAAAGAGCAGGTCTCATCAAATGGGAAACACTCTGCTACAAGGTTGTTTGCCTGCTTTCAGGCCTGAAATGCTTGAACAAGGCCTAAACAGAGCCTGACAAAAGCCTAGTAAAAAACATTTTTCAAACTTGAATTTTTTGATCAGGTGTAATTGAGGTCTAAATTCAGATCTTATACGCAGCACTAATAATGAGGACAAGACGACCCAAGAATAACAAACTGTGAACGGTTTAATGACAAAGACTAGAACTACAACACAATTGCAACAAGATGGCGATCTGGAACGCATAAGAGAGATCGAGCAAACGAAATACGCATGCGCGGCTAACAGCGCCCGCTGGTGCAACCTCATCTTCCTTAAAAATAAAATTAGAGCAAACATGGTCTAAGCCTAACAAAGAATGAGGCTAGAAATAACAGGGAGTTCGTTAACAGTTCTACAAGAAGCACAATGTTTCTGAAACGAGTGTTTGGATAAAGGGACAGTCTCCCAGCTTCCAAAAATCATGCTAACTAAGTTAGTCCAGTATGTATTCCTGCAAATACGCTGGGGGGCTGCGGGTATGCTGAGGTCTGGACTCTGAGATGGCAGGATCAGGCAAATCTGGTGCAACAGGCTGCGGAGAGGGTGGGACTGGATCTGCGAGGCTTGTGTCTATGGAAGCAGTGACTCGTGGATGCTCGGCCAGATCTGGACTATGTGGATGTACAAGGTCAGGACGGGCAGATGGCGATAAACGAGGTGGAGGTTGTGCAGGGGTCTCCTGGCATTCATCTTCATCAAGAGTAGGAACAGGTGATGGGTACACCAGACGAGGGATGTAAGATGTAGCCCAGAGTTGAGAGCCTGTCAGATCTGAATGAAACACCACTCTATGTCAGTGCTAACAATAATATAGCAGTCAAGAGTAAGGGACTTATCTTGGTCGGATTTCACATATGCCAGGTCTCCAACTTGCAGAGGGGTTACAGAAGTGGAAGGGCTGCAGCTACCTTTGGCCTTTTTGCTGTACTGACGGTTGGTTTGGCGAGCTTGGTGCTTGGCAACGATGTGCTGCAGGTTATTGACAGGAATTTGCTTGCGTGTGAACTGGTTGTATTACGTCTAAAGCTCTCACGAGAAAAGACCTTGGCCACAGAGTCGTGAGTTTAAACGGGCTGTGACAACTGCAAGGCTGAGTTCCATAATGGGGCCTTTACCAGGTTCCTGGTATAAGAGTTCCTCTTCGAGTTCCAGTACAGCTTTTCAGCAACAGGATTTATGTTGATGTTTTTGATGTGGCCAAATTCAACTGAGACACCAATGTGCTGTAAGACGTTTGTGTTCTTAAGTGAAACAAATCCTGGTGTGGGGTCGACACGTACTGCGTGTGGACCATTGAGGGGGTGTAGACCCACAATCAATCAGGCAAGGGCACCGCAAAGGTTGCAACTCTTTTCATCAGGTACGAGGCAAGACACAGTGTAGGCGGTGGTGCACTCTCTCAAAAGCAAGATGAACTGGCTGTAGCAGGTGGGCGAGTGGTTACTCTGATGACTGGCTAGCAAGGCAGCTTGGGAACTTCTGGAGTGAGGCACAGGTGTGGCAGGAATCAGACACACAGGTGATAGCGGTACTCATATCATTTGAAGTTGGTGGTTGGAAAGGTGGTATCTCCATTCAAGAAATCCTAGACAACACCAAGCACCTACCATTCACTAGCAGAACTGCCTGGTTCAGGGTCCAAAATGAATGCCCCAACCTATGTCGTGTCTGCGCTCAACTGAAACAGGGCACCCGACCATCCAAGAAACTAACATCAAAGATGTAAAGCGTTATTTTGACATCGCATCTATATAGAAGGATGGCCTGCTCATCGTCCAACATCATCTGCCACTCTTGCCCCCCCACTGAGCTGATCGTGGTACCGCACTCTGTACTTGATGGTCTTACTGTACTTACTGCTCTTCACATCAAATTAGACCACGTACAACTGAATTCTCAGCTTCTTGAATGAAGGAGCACATTTGGCATTGGGGTTCGTTGCATTCTGGGGCATTACGACTGACAAAGTCTGAAAGTAGGTTGGCATTTCCAGCGATATGTTGAAGGCGAACTAGGTATCTACTGACGGTGGCCGAGAAGGAGGTAATGCATGAGCTGGCAGAAACTCCACCTCGGCAAAGTTTCTCAACAACTTGAACACAAGGCTGGCTGTCAGTTAGGACACAGCCAAGAAGTTTCGATTGGATGATGAAGGGGCTAAAATGCTTGACGGCAGCTGTGATAGACAGTGCTTCAGCTTCGCACAGTAACCAAAATCTTAACCATGTAACCTGATGCTTGCATAATTTTGTCACTGTAGAAGCCCTCAAAGAGCAGGCGGTCTTGGCAAGTGACATACAACGTGGCTCCAAGATCTCGCTTGGTCACCAAAGTCTCCGTCACAATCCAAAGTTTTTTTATTCATTCAATTTTCACTGCGATTATATAACAAAGAAAAAAATCATAAACGATATTACAAAATAATAATAATATTAATAATTGTAATAACCATATTAATAAAAAAATCTTAGTACATAACAAGGCAGTGAGGAAGACTAGAAGGGAACTGACAAACCATACATGCTAGTCAACCCATTATGAAAATAAAATGTATGAATATATAAAAGCTTAATCATTTAACAAGCAATTTATTAACTATCTACTAACTAACTAACTAACTAGCTAAGTTGATCAGAAGCATGAGGAAGGACAATAGACTTGTGCAAGTTAAGGGTTTCTTGGGTAGCAGTAAATTTTTGGCAAAGGTTGTCATCCCACTGAAGCAGGTTGTGAGATTGTAGGTTGGCCAAGGAAGATTTGAGTGGATCCACAAATTGGGAGCAGAGGGGAAAGACATGGCCAAGGACCTTGTAAGCACCTATGAATAAACGCAAACCTTTTACCGACTCAGGAGGAGGGCAGCTTGCTAGTGCAGAAATGCGATGGGAGTTTGCAGACAAGAAGCCTCGTGACCAGATCCAAACCAAGATAGTACTAGACTTGGGGCAGATGACAGTGGCAGACAGTCGCAGGTGACATCAGTTAAGAGCTTCTGGTACGCGTGACCAGTTAGAAATGAGCTCTTGCGGAGTGTTGCTGCCACAACAGAGATCGTCGGCGAGTTTTGCTGCACATCCTTCCTGGAGGAAGTCACCAAGGACATGACACATCAATTCCTTTAATGCAGTCTGAGAACCAGGCATGCCCATGGCTGATCTGGTGTGCACTCTGCTGTCGCAAAAAGGGGTGGCAATGCACTTTGCAGAACTGGTTTACGGATGTTTTCTGGTAAGGTGCTGTCAGGGACAACAGACTGGGATGGAGAGCTTCTGCATTGGTGGAGAGATGATGGGTGGGATCCGACTGGAGGAGTTGTGGGATCCACAGTTGTGGTGTGATGTGCTTGGCAGAGGTGTTCGTGATGTCGTACTGTCTTTAGCTCAGTGGTGTTGTTGACTACACAGACTCTATTAGCCACTGTGTCTGCAATAAGGGGCTGAGGCCAGAGCTGTGAGATTTTGGAGCTTTTGTTGGACGGTGTGTCAGTATGGGCTTCTATGGCTAGAGTGCAGTCGGGGCCTAAGTCAGGGGGTACATCAATTTCAAGGTATTCATCAGGAAGGACAACGCTAGTAGAGGTGGTCGAGCGCAGTACGTAAGATTGGGCACAATGAACTGCATGAGCATGTGGGCTGCTGGGTGTCTCTTAATGGTAAGAGACGACTTCTGAGCCTTGGATCAGAACCTGCCCCTTTGCTGGGTGAACCAAAATGTTGTTGGAGATCATAAATGGTGTTCCAGCCAAAAGGTCGCCATCCAAATCTGCTACGACAAAAGCATGGACAGTGGTGTTTGTCAGCTCCTGAGAGGGTGAGGTGAGTCTCACCAACAACTTCAAGTGGTGTAAGTCCATCCACTTGTAAGGCCTGTTGAGATGTTTTGACGATGGGAGCATCAATGTCACGGAGGCCTTGATCATGCTGGTTTTGGCACCGGTGTCTAAGGTGAGCTTGAGCGAGTGGTGTAGAGAGAAGACATTGAAATGGGGAGATTGTTTGTTGCTCAGACAAGGTGAACAATCCTGGCTGAGGGGTGGGGTGGGAACACTGGGTCTTCTGCCTCAGGTGGGCTAAAGAAATCAGTCACTGG